CTCAGTGGTGGGATTCAGCCGGTTCGCACCGGTTCGTGCGAACCTGTTCTTAGAATTTAATGACCTCCACGAACCAGTTGTTAACAATCGTATGTATAGGCCTAATAATAACGTTACAACTTACAAGTACGCGTGTTTACAACGCAACTTTACTAGCAGGCTAGGCGGACTAGGTCTACTAGATCTCTGATGAATCATTTGCCAGCAGGTGTTTTTTTTTATACAGATTCTTATGATCTTATCTAAATTATTATTATTAGATCTAACTTAGTTATATCATCTACTATAGGCCAAGCGTCCTAGGCCTACGTGTGAGTGCAAATCTGTGCTGAATTATTAGCCAGCTGGGGAACGCTTTTTCTACAGATTCTTATCTAAATAATTATGTTAATCTATTATTATTATTATACCTAAGGTTAGACAGATGCTGGCTGGTAATGGGATCCCAAGGTAGAGGGAAGGAAATGGGTACCTGTGACAAAGAAGGTGGGGAATGGAATTGTACGACAATTTCATCTGATAGAACCCGAATAACTCAATGATCTGTGATGAAAGATCACCAAAGGGGAATAAATTCGCACAATCGAGCTCCCACCAGATAGCTGATCTACGCTGAAGAAAACAACGAGAAAAGGAACCCCTGAAAGAAGGAACAGGTAGGTCTGGGAAGGACTAGGATGGGAAACAGGAATAGGGACTTGTCATGGTTCTGACTGCAACAAACGAGCTACCAAAGAAGAAAAAGTATAGAGTTGATGCAGGGATTCCACATGTGATTCCAAAGTGTCAGGAACATGGCGATTACATACCACCGAAGAAAATGGGCTATATATAATTCCCCGAGATAAGTTGGCAGCAAACAAACCTGGGACAAAGCTGCATCATAACCCAGAAGGTCCCAACAACAGAGAAACCACCTGTGTAAGGTGAGAGACGATGACGACAAACGAGCCAACATTCAGGTAATAAGGGAGAGGCTGTCCCTCAAAAAACCCCTCAGGATTTCAGTGCATAGCCTCGGAATGGAGATCTATGGTAGATAAATACTGTAGAAGTGAATTAAAGGTAAGACAAAGGCATGAAAACTGGGCATGGATTAAACACACTGGAAAATCACACCAATAAGGGTTCAACTTGTTTTTGAGGAAGTGGGGCAAGTTCAGGAGAAGGTGGTTGACCCATATGAAGATCAATCTCTCATTAAATAATTGCAGATAAATCTAACGATAAGTCACCCCCACCTCTGCCAATGAAAAAATGTTTGTAGAAGGTGTGATACCCAAAGTGGTAACATTAACCTCGGAATTCCTGGTGAATTATTTGATAGATGAATACAAATGTGTGAGAGAGAAAAAATAATAATTATAATAAAGAGTGGAAAGTGAATTGAGAATAAAGGTGTCAGTTGTATAATCAAAAACGATTAATAAAGAAGACCACTTCAGAAGTATAACTCTTTAAATTATAAAGATGAAGTACACTAATGCAGAATTTTAAACATCTAAACATGAGCATTGCCAAATGAGAAGTGATAGTCTGGTAAAATTGAATAGAGGGAGTCACATGTGTAATGAGTGTGTGTGTGTGGCACTCTCATTGGTGGAGGGTTGTTGCATGATAATTTGCATAAAAGACGCATTGAAACGAGTAATTTCCAAAGGAGGGGAGGCAGAAGGCTTGTAGCATGCATGAAAAAATGTATTTGCATATAGAGGGCAGCACTGAACAAGAATGGTTATTTATGTGAGAAGAGGCAATGTACCTCTTTTCAGGGTATTTCTAGTGTTTGGAGAGATTTGATAGGATGTAATTCATCTTCCAAGAGTATCCATATATTATATGAATGAAGTCCAGCGCATGTGTAAGACACACCATTCGGTTAATCCCATCACTCGATATGTGTCAACCAGTAAATTATGATGGGGATGTTATCATGCATTAGGCTGAATTTAGAACCAATTACACTAACATATAGCAATACAAAGGAATATTGGATGTGGTACCATTTTGTAGGATGCTGGTACAAACAGTTATTTCTGCTCTCACTGTGTTACCACCACCACCACCACTATATATGATATATTACAGCCTAAAAATAAAAGGATCTGGCTCCGGACTTTTATCACTTGGTTGCAGAATGAGATCATACAAATCTATAAAAAAAAACAAAAAACTGTTTGACATGTTGTTGGTCCAATGAACATATTCCTAGCACCATTGTAGGTCAGCTATTTTGTGCACTTCTGTGAGCAAAACTCACCTAATTGAGTTTTTATTATAAAGGCTTACCTTACTAAGTCTGTTACTCACAATCTGTATATTCATTCACATGGCATACAATTTCAGTAGCATACATCTGATTCAGTCTCAAAGAAGATACCCTATAACTGCACCAAGCTAGAACTGCTAGGTAGTGGTTGTCTGCTTGTGTTGTATTATTGTTTTATTGAAAAACAGAAAATTCCACTGAATACAATTAAATGATTTCAGCTACATACAAAAACAAAAACTCTGAGGTGAAAGGAAATATTTTTTAAATATTCTTTAAAAAACAGAATTTGAAGCCAGTTTCAAAACATTTACTATCTAAGTTGCTATAGAAAAAGTAAACCAAATGATACATTTTTTTCAAGCACAAACTAATTATTATGTAGAAAATGTGTAACAAATTTCTGCAGTCAGGTTAAGCATTTTCAATGTGAAATCAATAACAAACCACGGGACACTCAGCAGAGTGCATATCTTCGCCATACAGAGTTGATCATATTTGGCTCTCAAAAAATATGAAAATATGTCCATATTTATCAACAAACCATTATTGGCAGGACAATGAGGGATAATATTCTACATATGTCCACCAAGTTTCATCAAAATCCAATCATTTTTGACTGAGTTATAAGAGCAAAAATAGTGTGAAAAATTGGTCCCTATGTTAACAGATAGGAATTTGTTTTATATTTTCATAACCTTACTGTGACCTTGACCCTCCAAAAACTAATCATTTCTAAGTTTGGCCATAGTCAAAATGTATACTAACTTTTGTCCAAATACATTCAGCCATTTTTGAGAAATCTTGCTGACAAACATACCCACAGAGGGGTAAAAACATAACCTCCATTCATCTTCAGTGGTGGAGGTAACAGGGGTGACAAAACAACAGCCTGCCATTTGGCATAAAGTTAAAATCTGCAATTCACCACAGAGTTTAACTGAGAAAATACTGTGTGAGACCACAAAATAAATAAATATATATATATATTTAGGGGTGGTGGTGCAGAAGCTTGATTAGCAAACATTTGCATTTCAGATCATGTGACTTATCCAATAGATGCTTTATTTGTATTGACAATGAACTGAAGTAAATGACTAAAATTACATAAAAACAATTGTTTTGTCCTAAAAAAAAGCTATAATAATACAAATACTGCTTATCTCATAATTAGTTTAGTGCAGTGTAGATATACAAATTAAAATCAATATTTGTTAAAATCCCAGGAAAAGTATGGTATGTTTTTATAGTCTTACTATGTGAAAAGCATGAAGTTTATGCCATTTGTTTTTATAACTTACAACGAGCTTATCAGCACATCTAATAACGAAAAAAACACAGAAGATATAAAAAACATATTAATCCAAAGATTTACTATAATTTTAACAGAGATGTCTACATCCAGTTGGGAGGTTTGATGGGGAAAAAAAATAGTTTAAAATTTTGCAAGTTCTTTTAATATTATGTAAATACATGCTCTCTCTTGTTTGACCATATACTTAAGAAACCATTAACAACAAATCTCTCTCAAAATTAGTATCATATAATTATAAATGTCTCATTTGTTCTGGTGTGCTTACACATAACTCAAAATCATATATATAATACAAAATATATTTGTTCTTTAATATACCAAACCATTTTGACGAACCCTGCTGGCACAATGTTAACATTTGGTAAAACAGAAGTTCAAATTCAGACAGAACATCGACTTGAAAGCTGTTTGAAACTAGCTTACCTGTTCTGAAGTTACAGATTCACGAACAGTTTGAAGGGTTGTGCGGATATTAGAGGACATGGTTTCTTTAACAGAAAACTGCATGACTTCTTCTACTTAACTGGCATTCATCCCTTAAAAAGACAACTTACATTATTATATATCATTGAAAATTTTCATAACTGTACAAGTTACAAAATATGATAACAAAATTATGTTTAAAAATTGTTAAACACTGTACTCTATACATCTTATACCTCTACCTTAGCAAACTTACAGCTGTTCACAGTACATATACAAAATACAACAAAATATTAGAAACATGATGCTGGAAATGCTGTGAAACTGAATGAAACCAAAGTAATGCCTTTATTCCCTAAAATATATCAACCTTCCAATTACCATAGCAAACATGTGAGGTCAACATGCTTTGTGTGTTCAAAGAATTACGTTTTAAGAATATGTTTCTAATGTGTGGACAAAATAATCTAATGAATAATTTCTCACTAATTATTATAGGGTACTGTACAAAAATGTACATATGTTAGTATAAAAAATGTGACCTAATGCAGAAATGTGGGTGCATAATATTCCCATGTTGTAATTGAAAGGTTAAAAGTTACTACTAAAATTGACTGCTTCTTATGTTAATTTGTAAATACGTATATATATGTGTGTGTGTGTGTGTGTGTGTGTGTGTGTGTGTGTGTGTGTGTATATAAGTATTAACACATGTAAATTAATTTCCTTACATTTGTATTCTACCAAAGCCTGTTAACTTGAAAGTATAAAGGTTTTCTTGAAAAACTAATGAGTGAGAAACTGAAATAGACCAAATGGTTTACTTAGTGACTTGAATAGGCTAAATGGCCTATGTTTGTCACCTAAGAAGATCAAACAATCAATGTTGCCAATGCTGGTATCAAGAATATGCCAATTGGCCTGTTCATTTTTATTGAATTCTTTCCAGCACAAGATACTATATGAAGCCTCTTTTTATCACATTAACCGTTAACTATTCCAACAACCATACTCCATACAACTTCATACTCGATTCTGTGGTATTTCCCCTGTGCACAAATTTCTCAGGGCAGTCAGTTAAGGCCTATGAATATGGGGATCTGAAGGACACCACAATACAGAGTATGTGTATGTTTCTCTCCAAACTTTGAATGAGTTCAAAGTGAAGAAAGACATAAAAAGCAGTATTTATTAATACAATAGAAAACAGTATCTATTAATACAAAAATTCAAGACAAAAACAAGGGCAAGTATTTATTGTGGGTGCATTCGATTAGTCAGAGAGGGGAAGAAACCTTTGTGATCTCTCTCTCTATCTCACCACTCTAATGCAAGACCCCCATAAGTTAAGCTGAAACAAAGTTACAAATTAAAAATCAACCCAAAGTTAAAATGAAAAACAAAGCCAAACAATGATACAAAAGATGCTACAAGGTAAATAAAAGCTCAGCAAAATCTGAATCTTAGTGAAATATCCCTCTATCAGGGAAGACTTGGTTTTAAATACCACAATGCATAATAATAAGAGCCTGGTTTCATATCATCATGCTTTGCACACTTGTCCTTTGTCCACTCATGCTCAGTCGCATAACAGACTATTTGAGGAATTTTTAGCTAGACATAACCAAAGTTATTTTCCTACACTGAAATATATTTCCAATAGGTACTTACCTCTTCACATATAATAGATTTTCTTGTTCAGTGCTGCCCTCTATATCCAAACTCTTTTTTTCCATACCACTAGCCTTGAAACTCCCAACTACCCCATGCATCTTTGCATGTAAATTATCATGTGATAACTCTTCGCCAATAGGAATGCAACACACCCTCATGACACACGTTACTACCTCTATTTAATTCCACCTAACCATCACTTCGAGATTAGGCAGAAATGAAGCACTGGTAATGGGGTGGAAGGGTTGTAAGTGTGAGCAGAATAAGTACATATCAGAAATATATTTTCAGTGTTGGGTGGTGGGAAATGCAAAAATGGATGAGCCTCTTGGTGTAGAATGGCAAGGGTACAACAGACCAAATTTCGCAGGTAACTCCAGTCCAAAACCAATTGGACCAGTTTCACCATGTGCAACATCAACCTTAGGGAGTGAACCTCACTGACATGGAGTGTCAGAAGGACTACATTCACCCTGTTCAACATAATCCTCTGGATAGGACCTCACAGAAGCTGGAGTGCATGGATGACTGTTAAACACCCTGAACAACTACAGAGCATGGGCAAATTGAGCCAGATCTGCACAACATCAACCTCAGGGACCAATCAAACAAAGTTGGAGTGCATAAGGAAAATTCCTGTGACCAAAACCAAAGATGTTGAACTCCCATCACAGTTGAATAAAATCGGACAAATGTGCTCCTACCGGGCCAGAAGCCACCAGATAGTCAATGGAACTGTTGGCAGCGATAAGTATGATAACAAGGCAAATGATGAACCCCTGAAGTAAGGAATAGGCAATGGATGGGAGAGTAAAGGATGGGAAACAGATATAGAGGATGGTAAAGGAGCAGGTTGAGACAAACCAGCAACCAAAGAGGAAAGAATTAGGTATTTTTTCATAGATTCCACAAGTGACTCCAAAGATTCAGGAATATCTCCAAAAACAGCCCTAGGGAGAAAGGGAGCCATCCTCAGGTCATGAAGATAAGTGGAAGGTAGACAAACCTGAGACAAGACAGCATCCCTACCAAGGAGATCCCAACAGCAAAGAAACCACCTGTGAAAGGATAGGGATGAGGATGATAACTGCACCAATGTGGAATTAATGAGGGAATGAGTATTCTCCAAAAACTCCTCAGAGGATCAGTGAAGAGCCTCAGAAATGAGGTGTAAGACACCAAAGGAGAGATGTAAGGATAAGATAAAGGAGGGAAAACTGGGCTTGGGATAAGCATATAGGATTCTCATGACCTGCCCCCCACACAGGCAAAAGTGACTCCAGGTGCTGAGAGTTCAGAAAGGGATCACCAGCCTGATGGTAAGCCAATGCATAATGATCAGAAGCATGCTAGCACCAGCGCTCAATTGAAAAACAAAATGCTCAGTATGTACCCTGATGTCAAGAGAAGGAGTAAAGAAAAGGTAATCGAACAATGAGGTGGCATGTAACAAAGAAGGTACAGGATCATACAAAACTGGAGATACAAATAAACATAATAAATCCAAAAAATCATGTCCAAAAAGGCTGAGGGAGGCCTAGCTGATTCCTCAAGGGAGACATGGGTGTGCACAGCATACATAGGAGATGCAAAAAGGCTATCAAAATCCTCCTCGTTATTAACCCTCTTGCTACAAGTGGGTGGATATCACCCATCCCATATCCCCCCCCCAGTGTAATCATAAAGCAGTTATACTGTAACTTTTTAAAATGTACAGATATCTTCAAAACATTTTCAGATTATCAGTAAACATTACAAGGCTTTGGTACACAAAATATCAGATTTTTAAATTAAGTTTTATGGTTTTTTAATTAATGACTTGCTCATGCATTTTTTCTTTCTGAATGTTGACTATCCAACATGCAATTTAATTTTACTTTTAATATTTAAAATACTTTTATGCATCAGAAAACTGTCAAATTTCACATGTGAAATCTCTATTCTATTACCTCCAAATAACTATCAAACGTTTTTTTTTTTTAGAAAGATACTTTATATTTTAGCTCTGTATGGGTTTGGTTGATTTGACCAACCTAATATCCACCATAAAGAAATTAGAAAATAGATATAAATTATGCTTTTTTCATTCTAGAATAACTTCAAATTATAACACGACACCACAAATGTTTAGTCTGAATAGATTAATTCCATAACGTTATATATTTTCATATGTTATCTCTATGTGGATTTGGTCGATTTGACCAAACTCGTAACCATCATAAAGAAATTAGATATAAATTACGCTCTTTTCATTCTAAAATGACTAAAAATTATAACAAAATACCAAAAATGTTGAGTCTAAATTTCATAACATAAAACATCTACTTATATTTATTATTTTTATTTTATTGACCTTTCAGAATTTGCAATGACAAGGCACATGTGCATTATGTTACTGTATTAAATAATATAAAACTGGCCTTTACAACGTGATTTGTCTTGGCTTTGTTATAGTGGACCATAATTTTGTAATATACAGGCACATTTTG